AGAACAGGTGGCGGAACATATATATATAAGGGGGTAGGAGAGATCGAACCTAAGATCAGGTGGGGCAACAGTTAATATAAAGCGTGTAGGAGAGATGGAACTTATGATCAGGTGGCGGAAATATATATAGAAGGGTTGGTTAGGAGAGATTGAACCCTAGATCAAGGTGAGGGGAACATATGAATATTAGAAGGGGTTAGGAGAGATGGAAACCTAGATCAGTGGGAACATATAATATAGAAGGGGTAGGAAAGATTGGAATTTAGAAGGTGGTAGGGGAAAGTTACAATCTAAAAGTATAGGGTATTAGGGATATAGGAACCTTAGAATAAAACTGTAGGGCAGATAGAACGTAGAGGTGAGTGTCCACTGGTTAAGAGAGCAGTTCACACATGCAGTTGAAATCTGCTAGGGTACGATGCATGTAGGGTGAGGTCGGAATGTACGGTGAGCGAGTTTAAGCTTGGGACACACCATGCGAATTTTCTATGCGCACTGTCCGTTCGATTCGTTCCATCCGGCACGCGTCCGCCAGCGAAAATATCAAATGTTTGATCGCTGGCGAATTTTTGGTGCAGATGAATATTCCAGCGAATTCGCCCGCGCGTTGATGCGGACCCACCATGGCGAATTTCGCTGGCCCGATTTTTCGATCGCTGTGGACGTGGAGAACTAAATTTGCACGTCCGCTCTCCGCACCGTCCACAGCGAAATAATCAACGTTGATCGCTGCCAAGTTTTCCGGTGCGGATGAAATGGCTCTGCTCGCTGCTTGAGCGACCACACATGCGAATTTTGCTGCCCGATTTTACATTGCTGTGCGACGTGAAGAATAAATTTGCATGGTTGTGTTCCTCGCTTTAGGGAGAGAAGCTGAGTCACGTCATCTCTGGTATGAAGTGTTCTGTTTGTCATTAATATTTGCTACGCTAATGATAATTTCAATCGTATACGCGTGTCAAAAGACGAACATTTATCTTTAATTGCCATCGACTTCTACGAAAATCAACGCGGCATCTGGAATTCGATTCTATCCGCCGATTTTTGCTGGGTTGAAACAAGCGAGCGTGGTATTCGATCGGTTCCCGTCTTCGTCCCTGCCTGTAGGAGCTGATTGCCGTGCGCCGGCGGGCAAGCTTCACACGGCGGCGCAGCCGTAACGACCAGGCCGCTACGGACACGCGCATCTGGCGACGCGGTGTGGCGTACGCGCACGTGCGAGGTCACCTGTATGACCTCATCAAAGGTGCCTGGTGCTGCGCGGCTGAACAGTGGAGGTATACACGTCCGTCACCTGCAACCACGCGGCTCTCTTGTTTGTTGTTCTCTCTCTTTATTCGATTGTTTAGTCTTTTATTTTCGTGGTTGTAGTTTTTTATTTAGTGCGCAGTATTTTTTATATTTTTTCATTCGTTTTTTTCTATGTCTCGGATGCTGCTGACGATTTGTGTCATGTGTGCTGTGCGCTGTGTGCGTGCGTCGCGTGTCGTGCGTTGCGTGCGTGCGTGGTTCGCGTGCGTGCGTAGTGTGCGCGCAAGATCTACTAAAATTTTTGGGGTTCATGGGGTTTAAGGTATGTTTCGGTGATTATTTTCTATGTTAGAGAAGCAGCACAATTCTCCCATGTCTGGTGTCTTGCTGCTAGACATTGCTTTACACTATGTATCTGACTCTCACTGTCACCTTACAGGGCAGATATAGATACCTCACAGCTGACTGGTTATAGACATTTCTCTCCTCTCTCTTTCGCTCTCTCACTGCTCTGCTTTCTTCGCTCTTCTCACTTTTCTCTGTCTCTCTGTGCTCTCTCTTTCCTCTTTCTCTCTCTTTTTCTCTTCTCCTCTCTCTCTCGCTTCGCTTCTCTCTCCTTCTCCCTCTCTCTTTTTGCCTTCTCTCTCTTGCTTCTCTTCTCCCGCCCCTCCCCCCTCTCCCTCCCTCTCTCTCTCTCTTTTCTCTCTTGTTTGTATTCTCCCTCTGTCTGTCTCCTTCTGTCTGTCTCCTTCTGTCTGACCCGTCTTGTCATCTTGTCTCGTCTGTTCATCTGTCCGTCCGGGGGTCCTGTCGTGTCATTCTGTCTGCTTCATGTGTGTGTTGTATGTTGCCTGTGCAGGGGATAGACATCCTACATGCCGGGGATACACGACATGCCAGCCGTGCGCAGTCCGATCCGCTGGAGTACTGGGCTGCTAGCTATGCGTGGGCGTCGTGTCGCGTGACATTGCAGCGAGCTGACGACTTGCTGGCGACCACGCGTCAACTGGTGCCGCTCGGGCAGTGGCGCCCTCGCCGGCAACCCTTCAACTTGCTGCTGGCCGTGAGATGCTGGGCTGCACGGTATGGTGTTAGTGAAGGGTGTAGCGATATAGGATTATGGCTTAGATTTGGGTTAGGGTATAGTGTTGTGGTCAGGGTAAGCGCAGGTAAGGGTTTACAGTTACGGTTAGGGTTAAGGTAGAGAGTTCAGGTTAAGCGGTTGGGGTAATGCTGTTAGTTTATGGCTAAGAACCGCGAGGCATGCCTGACTCATGTTTTAATACGTTCTCTCTCTTTCTCTCTTCTTTTCACTCTCATCGCCCCTGACATTTCTCTCTATTCTCTCTCTCCTCCCTATCTCCTGCTCTCACTCTTCACCCCTGACCCTTTCTCTCTGTTCCTCACGCCCCTCTCTCTCTCTCACTCGCCCCCTTTTCTCTCCCCCTTTCTCTCACTATCTCCGACCTGCCTCTTTCTCTCGTTCTCTTCTCTCTATGCTCTCTTCTCTTTCCTCTCTCTCTCTCTCTCTCTGCTCTCTCCTCACTTCTCTCTCTCTCTCTCTCTCTCTTCTCTCTCTCTCTCTTCTCTTCTCTCTCATCTCTCCTCTGCCCCTTTCTTCCCCCTCTTTCTCTTCTTCCCTCCCTCTCCCTCTCTTCCAATTCTCTCCCCCACCGCGTGATTACGTGTTTGGTATGTGTTCTCTCGTCCCCCCCCTTTCTTACTTTCCCCCTCTCCCTCTCTTCCCTCTGCTCTCCTCGCTCACTTGTCCTGGCCCGTGTCTCTCTGTTTCTCTCCCCTTTCTTTCGATCTCGCTCTGCCTTTCTCCTGTTCTTCTCTTATTCTCTACTCTCTCCCGCTCTCTTCTCTCTCACTCTCTCGCCTCTGCCCCTTTCTCTCCCTCTCTCTCTCCCTTCCTGCCTCTCCCTTCTCTCCTATTCCCTTAGCCGCTGCTGTTGCAGACTAGGGCTTTGCCGACGATCAGTGGTAACAGTCGCTAGATGCGAGCGGGTGGACAGACTCGGTCGCTGAGTTGCTTGTTCTGGGCGACGGGACGATGACGGGGACCCACCTCAGCAAGCTTGCAGAGACTGGATCCTCTACTTGTATCGAACGGAGTTCTCCTATCGTTGGAGCAGGCTGGTCTGATGCTGACAGGGTGATGAGCACCGCGCCAGGTCGAATTCATCCGTTCCTTCTCGCCTCCCCGCCTCCATGCTTCCCGGCATGATGGGTCTCGGCAGGGTCTCATCTATCTTTCTCTACTCTCTCCTCCTCGTCCCTGGTGTATTGTGGTGTGCTCGGCGTGGAGTGCCGTGCGTGCATATCTGTGTGTGTGCGTGTGGCGTGCGTCTGTGGCGTGACGTGTGCGTGCGTACGCTCGTGCCATGTGCACAGTGCTGTCGTATGTATGTACTGTATGCATTGTATATGTTATATACTCACCAGGGGTTCGCTAGTTCCGGTATTACCGATCTCGCGTCTGAATGCCTGTAAAGCTGAAGCTTCATTTTGTTGAATGCCATAACATCCCAGACCATAGTGCCTCCTATATCAACAGCCTTGTAAAGTTACCTTGTGAACTTTACCGTGCCGTAGTTATACCGGGTTTAGTATCAGACGCACATAAGAAGTTACCTGAGAATCCTTCACGTGACTAGTGATGGCGCCACTATTCCCTCTAAGTTGTCTTCTAAGTTATCGTTACTGCACCACTATGAGCTCTTGCTGGTTACATGCTACGCCGCTCGCACACGTGCGTCGAGTGTTTTGCGCTTGGACGACGCGTGGTTCTTGTGACGTGGTAGCTTGGAATGTTGTGTGTTGTCGTTGTGTGCCTGTTAGCACGGGTGGAGCAGCCTGATGCCACAGAAGCAAGAATGCAAGACAGTCTGCGAGCTGATCCGTGGCCAAGGCTGGACGAGTGTTTCGGGACTGTATAAGGGCCACACTCCTGCCATCATGGTGAAACTGCACCTCTATGACACTACGGCATCATGGTGGCCTGCCATCCGACCTGCTATACACTCCTGCCATCATGGTGGCCTGCACCGCACCTCTATACACTCCTGCCATCATGGTGGCCTGCACCTCCGATATACACTACTGCCGATTCATGGTGGGCCTGCCACCGGCACCTCATATACACTCCTGGCCATCATGGGTTGGGCCTGCACCGCGACCTCTATACACTCCTGGCCATCATGGTGGCCTGCCACCTCCTATACACTCCTGCCACATCATGGTGGGCCTGCCACCGCCACCTCTGATACACATCCTGCCATCATGGTGGCCGCTGGCATCCGCACCTCTATTTACAGCTCGGCTGCCATCATGGTGGTCTGCACCGCACCTCTAGTGACACTCCTGCCACCGTTGTGGCCCGCACGCTATTACAGCTCCTGCAATCATCCGGTGCCGCCTGCCACCGCTACCTCTATATTACACTCCTGCCAATCATGGTGGCTAGACCGGCACTCTATATTAATATATATTATTATTACATGTTACATGATAATGATATGTTTAAATGATTAATATTAACTGTTAATGATAATGTTAATGTCAGATCTCTACTATAAAGTTGCGAGATTTCTGTCTGTGTGTGTATGTTGTGTGTGTGTGCGCCTGTTCCGGCTATACTTTCCGACCGCTCAATGGATCCTCTCCAAACTTGGTCGGAACATTCTACAGATCATGACACGTTGCATGGGCTATTTATCTGATGGTGTAATGTTTGCTGTGAGTAGTGTGCAGGATTCATGATGGTACTGAAGGGATTGCCCAGCACCTATAACAAAGACCTTCAGGAGGACAAGGAAGCCATGTTTGATGTCTACGACACGATGACCGGGGTGCTGCAGGTTGCCACGGGAACGCTGTCAACATTGACCGTGAGTAATGCATGGTAGTTTGTAGGTTTCGAGTATTGGATCTGCTTCACTTCCAGCTTTAGACAACACCGACTCTTGTGTTGGATTTCATTATTGTATATACCTATAGCTGCATATGTGATAGTTCTTGTTGCGCATTACTGAAGCTTGATTCACGTGAATGTATCTTTAACTTCCTGCTACCACTGAGAGAATAATATTCTTCTATGATCTTGTCATTCTTTCGCATACTTGCAGGTGCATCCTGAGGCGTGCACTGCTGCACTTAGTTCTGACATGCTTGCTACCGACCTAGCATACTACCTAGTCAGGAAAGGGGTGAGTATTGCAGTAAGAGCGAATTGCACAAAAATTTCATTCTTTTCGAGTTCAACCTATCTTGTCCCACCAACTCTGTACTTAGAAATGAGGGAGAGAAGTTATATAGATAGAACATCACAACCTCATCTCCAAAATAACCATGTTACTGACGACGAGCGAGTATTTAACGTATTTTTACGTTCGTCCCCCTCGTACTACTGGCCACTCATTGGCTGTGCTGTTTGTGTAGATTCCTTTCAGGGAGGCGCACGGGTTATCCGGAGGTGCCGTGGCCCTCGCTGAACAGAAGGGATGCACAATCCAGGATCTGAGCGTGCAGGATCTCAAGACCATCAGGTGAGTGATGCAAGCGATTACACAAACACATCCAATGACACGTTAATAAGCAGAGACCCGTTTACACCGTTCCGTCAGTGTTTAAGCAAATTAATCTTAACATCCTAACGTGCACTTTTTCTCATAGACCGTTGCCAGAAACCTGACAAAGTAAATATCTTAAGAATTGTGCATTGTGGTTTTGTTTTTATGCACTCCTGTAATAATAGATACATTTATCTGTAATGTCACGCAGATATAAGATATATAGCAAAGGGAGATATATCTACATATGCGTGCATCTTGTTTGTGCCGATCGCAGCTATGTACAGCTGCCATGAGAAGTGCGACAGTGATTGCTACTGTTGAGATCCTTTCGTATCGTGTCCATCCATCCCAAAGTCATATCGTGTTCATCCAGTGCTTTGCGCAGCTAACTGCACATTCGAGGCGAATGACCGTACCGTCGCCTACTCCACTAAGCAGAGTCTAGGGAGTCGCCTAGCCATACTTCCGCTAACCTAACCCTAACCATAGTCAAATAGTTACCGGGTACGTTTCCGGCAGTACCGCTGGGACATAGACACTATGAGCGCATAGTAAGCATGGTGTGATACGGCGTCTACGACAGGTCCTACAATAATATATTGATGTATATAATTAGCGCGAAGAGTGACGCTGCATGTACTGACCGCGTCGCGCGGCTGTTCTCTCGCAGCACTACGCTTCGGAGGGAGCGACGTCTCTGCTGTGCTGGGAGCTATGAGAGCAGCGTCGCAGTACCAAGGCTTACGGAAGGTACCACAGGACGAGTGTCCTCGCCAAATATCGCCAACCTCAACAAGCGACTGGTTTGCGTGCTGCGATATGGAACCATTTCATGACTTTACTGGCTAAGCTTTTTGGCTGGAATGTTACTGGCCATATTGGCTCGGCCTCTTGGTGGCTAATTCTTAGAGTAGTCTCAGCGTAGAGGATCAATCACATCGCTCACAAAGCATGAATGGTTATCATAATAGTTTTCTGGTGGTGGCTCTGCTGCAGATGTTCTGCTGCACAGATAACTGACCATTATTCTCAGTCCGATCAAGATGGCTGACCTAAATGATTGTGCGATGCTGGTATTCGGGTTGCTCGCTAAAGCAATATGCCGTCCTATGACCGGTGTGTAATAGTTGTTGGCGCGTGCTATAGTGCATCCTTTAATTGTTGTGTTAAGATTAAAGCTAGGCTGATTTATAGCAAATCATGCCCTGAAGAAAAATTGCAAGTGTATAATATATTGGTCAGTAGCTGGTTTGAAAG